CCCATCCCATCCCATCCCATCCCATCCCATCCCATCCCATCCCATCCCACCTTTCTCTGGTGTGTCCCAGTCAAAGATGACCCAGGCCAGGTAGAGAGCAGAGATGGGCCAGAAGCGGGTGAATACCAGGTAGAGGAGCAGCACCAGGGTGACAGGGCCTGTGGGATGAGGTGGGTGAGTGAGCGCACGCCCGGCCCTACAGCCCCCATGGCCCCACTCACCCAGCAGCAGGAAGCTGAGCACCCACTGGAGCACGGCGAGGAGCTGCAGCCAGGCACGGACATCCCTCTGTGAGGGCCATGGCACGGCCAGCAGTGTGCGCAGGGCAGCATGGAGGCTGGCACGGCTGCCTGTGGGGACACAGACACGGTGGGCTCAGCGTTCCCATCCACAGAGTCACCGCCATGCTAGGAGTGGCCCTGTTTGGCTGGTGCTGGGATGTGGGGTGGATGGGCTGGGGATGCTTGATGTCTGCCCTCCCGGCAGTGCCAAGGACAGCAGTAGGGGTGGATGCCCCCGTTGTCCCTGAAGAGACAGCCTGGCCCTGCTCCCCACTGCTGGATCTGGTGAACCATTAACCACCCCAGACAGTGCCAGGATCCAAACTCCACAAGTAGCCCCATCCCTCCTCCCCCAAAACGGGCCTGAGCCATCGTCCAAAGGTCTGAGATGCAGCAGGGCTGTGAAAACAACTTGAAACCTGCAGTGAGAGAGATGTGCAGGGGAAGAGGGGATAGAGCTGTGCCCATTGAGGACCAGCAGCAGTCCTGGGGGGAGCTCACCTCTTCCCACCTCAAACCAAATCAGGAACAGCGCAATTGGGAAGAACGGAGCAATAGGGAAAAACAGAGTGCTGGAACCAGCCTGGCAGAAGGATTCTGCCCCCTCTCCCTCTCAGCGCTGTCCCCGTTCCAAACACCCCCCTGCTATGCCACATTCCCAGAAATCCTCCAGCCCCGTGGCTCTCAGCTTTCCCAATGCCTGCTGACTTTTCCAGCGAAGACACACAGCCCATCTGTGCCTACCCCAACGTTGCTTTTTTTAGCTCTTTTTACAGCCCCTCGAGCACTCCGCTGGTTTCCAGACTGCACAATGAAAACCATCAGCGGAGCAATGGGCGATGCCCGGTGCTGTGCCCACACTGCTCCCCAGTCGTGGTGGGAGCCTCCCCTGAGGAGCTCAGCGTCCACAGCTCCGGGCAGCGCGGAGATGAGAGCAGAACTGGCATCACTTTGCAGCATCTCACAGGAGGAGCGTTTCCTAACGCCTGGTCAGCATTAACTTAAGAAATCCCATTCCTGTTGAGCAACTTTATGTTTTCCTCTGGTGCCGCTAACCCCAAATTGTTCCCAACACCTCCCTTTCCCCTGAGCAGTCTTAAAGCAAACAGACAATAAGTGACAGCAAACGCTAATTGCCCGAGCCCATACAGCGCCGGAGCGTTAGGAACCATTCAAACATTTGGATATTCCTTACCACTCAGATTTTGGGAACAGGCCGCAATGATTGTTTTCATGGTGGCAGGAAGCTCTGCTTTGGAGCCCGGCTCAGCGGGTTAAAAGGCAGGTTTGGAAATCCTGGGCGGCGATTGATCGCTCAGCCGGCCTCGGTGACCGCCCCGGCCGATGCGAGGGGGACGTGTGGAGAGGAGCAGGGCCAGGGTGGCTGCTGGAGCTCCTTGGGAGCAGTCACACAGTGACAACTCCTCCTTGTCACCGCCGGCAGCCGTTGCCCCCCAGGAATGGCACTGTAGGTGTTTCACAACCCGCCGTCCTGCCCTGCTGGTGCGATGCAAGAGGCACCTGAAAATCTCACCCTGATGCCCGGTGGGGTGAGATGCAGCTTGGTGAGCTGGTTGTCAGCCACAGCCACGTGGTTCCCTCCTCAGCAAACCAAGAGGATGGCCGGGGTGGTGCCTGGCATCCAGATTTCCTCCACTGGAAGAAGCCTTCATGCTGGCATGTAGTCCTGCTTGCTAAAGGACAGGTGTAGAAGACCAAAAAGACTGGGTGCAACTTAACAAAATAAAAATGGGAAAGGTTCCCTTCCAAATGCATGAAGAAAGGAGGAAACAAAAGCAGCATGGAAGCAGCCCAGAGAGCGGGCTGCAGGCTGGCAGTGGAAGGGACAGAAAACCTGCAGGACGTCATCCA